CTCCTCTTCCTCCCCCTCCTCCTCCTCTTCTTCCTCCCCCTCCCTCTCCTCCTGGAGCCCAGAGCTGGTAAGACGCGCCCCCCCTCCCCCGCCTCGCCCGTTTTTCCCAGACAGGGCAGCGGCCCAGGGGTCTCTCTCTTCTCGTGCGGTAGCCTGTCCCCTGTGCCAAGTTCGCAGAGAGTGCCGGCGGACTCCATCCCTGAGCCCCCGATCAGTGACCGAGGGCCGAGAGGCCGCCTCGGCCCGGCTCCGTTTTTTGTTTGTTGTTGTTGTTGTTGTTGTTGTTGTTGTTGTTGTTGTTGTTGTTGTTGTTGTTGTTGTTGTTGAACATTATTTATTCTACAGAATAATTATTGTTGGGCCCCCTGGTGCGCGCCCCCCCTGCGCCGCCTAGGCCGCAGCTACATTTTCATCATTTTCGTGAGGAAGCCTCAGAAAAGAGGGTGTGTACAGGATCCGGTTGTTTTGTTGTAATTCCCCCCCCCTTTCCCTTGCAAAAAACAATAGAAAATGACATTTCTTGTTCTAATATAATCAAATTTCAAGAATCCCTTGCAAAAAATAAGGTAAAGTGGACATTCGCGCGCGCAAGACGAAATCCTTCCAAAACCTTAGTGTTCGAGCGATTTTAACATAAAAACATCAAAAAACCAATGGTTTTTCAACAAAAAAATGTCAAAATTTCATCCCGCGCGCTCTTGCGGATTCGTAGGAAACCCAACACTTTTTAAACATTTCTGTCAAACGGGCTTTTGCGAGCAACTTTTTCGAACTTCTGCGACAACGGTTGCGCACCTGCCAGGGCCATCATCCCTGTCAAATAATACCATGCGGGACACATTCGTTTTTTCTTCGCGCGCGCACGCCGTCGTCGTCGGCCGCGGGGCCCTGAATAGTAGCCACGGTCGTCCGCATGCCACGAAGTGAAGTGTCCGAACGTCATAGGGCGGGAAGCTGGGTGTGGGTGGTGGCGAAGAGTCGTTTGGAAATTTGGTAGAGCTTGAACCGGCCCCCCCACAAAGTGGGGGTATTGCCCGCCTCCTATGAAAACCCTGGCACTGGTGAGAACGGAGTGTCCCCACGTGCTAGTAATTGTTGTTGTTGTTGTTGTTGTTGTTGTTGTTGTTGTTGTTGTTGTTGTTGTTGTTGTTGTTGTTGTTGTTGTTGTTTGTCTGTTCCGCCCCTGGGAGGGGTCAGCGCGGCGCGCATCCTTGGCTCACCGAGCGCGTTCCACTACTCGCAAATTGCCTACTCGCAAATGTCCGAAAAACGCATGTCTGCTTTCATGTATTGTATCGTAGATCCCCCGCGCCGGCTCCAGGTCATTTGCGAGCATGCAGTTGATTACTCTGCGAGTAGTGGAACGCGCTCGTCTATTGGCCCCAGTCCTGGCCAGATGCGCCCCCCCCCCCCCCCTTCGGATGCAACTCCTGGGAGGTCAAATTCTGTTTTCGCCCTGGTCCGAAATCCGGCTTAATTCGGCTTAATCCCGTTTAATCCCGCTTAATCCGGCTTCGTCCCGCTTAATCCCGCTTAATCCGGCTTAATCCCGCAGAGTCCGAGGCCCACTCTGGCGTAACAGCTCCCAGAGGGGGCTCAATCCTCCATGATCTTTCCGACGAAAACCTCCCGGCAGCTGCCTCCTAACCCGTCCGCCGGGGCCGCGGCCCCCCGGCCCCTCGCGGAGGCCGGGCCGACATCTCTCGCCAGGCGCCCGCTCTGCCACCGGCGCCCGTCCGGCCTCGGCTCCCGCCCAGGCGCCCCCCCCTCCCTCCGGTGCTCCCCGTCGCCGTGGGCCTCGCTCGGACGCGTGTGTGCGTGTGTGTGTGTGTGCGTGTGTGTGTGTGTGTGTGTGTGTGTGTGTGCGTGTGTGTGTGTGTGTGTGTGTGTGTGTGTGTGTGAATGAATGCGTGTGTGTGTGTGTGTGTGCCCAGAGATCCAACGTATCGAACAAATCAAGACGGAGGTATTTCTCAATTTTCAGCCTCTGGGGGCCCTCGCCGAGCCCCGGGACCTTCAAACATCGACTCAGGACGAAGAACCGGTCCTGGGGAATGGGTCGAGACCTTGGGGGACCGCGTATTGAAAAAATCACGACATCGGATTTCTGTGTGTGTGTGTGCGTGTGAATGTTTCCCCCGGCGAGGACAATCGAGGAGCGTCTTGGACCATTTGGCCGAGCAAAAAGGAGGAGGCCCGCGCGACGTCGAGGAAGGTTCACGGGGCTGGGACGTCCGAGCGGCGGCGAGTCGCGCTCCCTCTCCTGCCCTTCGGCCCCCCCTCTTGCCCTCCTCCTCCTCCTCCCCCCGCCCGCTCTCCCATCCATCCTCTGCCTTCCCGTCCGTGCCTTCCCCCTTTCCCCCAGCGGCTGCCATTCCTCCCCCAGTCGGGTGCGACTCGTCATTCTGTCCCGACTGCCTACCAAGCCCTCCCTCGATAAAACAATGAACATATGGGAAGCACGTTGGTGGATACGATTGCTGCCTTCAAGTCTTTGGCCTCTGGGGGCTGTTTTTGGGTCCTGGGTCCTGGGACGGAGTCGAGAGGTCCAGGAGCTTTGTACTGAGAAATCGGGATGTCTGGGCAATGATGGGGTCAAGCGCCAGGTTGCAGGCATCAGTGACGGCACCGTCTGAGTATCAGTCCAAGCCAGTGCGTTGAGAGGAGAGATCGCGAGGACTCGCCTTCCTACCTGCTGTCGTACCCCGTATCGAAGGGGCTGATCGACAATTGGGATGACATGGAGCGATTTTTGCAGCAGGATGGGCGGGCATTGGCAATCTTGCAAGCAACACATTATTCCCCACGTATGCGTGTCCAAACCTCAGCCTTACCTTTCCATTCTCATATCGCAGGGGATGTTTCAGAGGCGAACTGCGTACTGCACGTCATCCAGATCACGTTTCATATTCTCGATGATCGAATTCGACCGCACCGTGTAGCAGGCGGATTTGGAAACGGTTGACGTCTGCAGGGTCATGAAGTCTATTTTCATGAGATCGCTTGCTCACCATTGCTTTGGCCGAATGTCGGCACATTGTTGGGATCAAGATTGCCCTGTTGTTCGCGTCACGGGAGGGGCTTCAGCAGCGAGAGGTCGCACGATTGGCCCTTGAGCAGCAGTGGACGGGGGAGTGCAGAGGAGGAGTTTCGACAGACCACGTGCAACGAGGGATGGACGCAGGAGGATAGAAACGATGTGGCAACTGGAATGTATGGCCCCCTGAAAGCCTCATTATTCTGTCTTCTTCCTCGTCATCCTCCCGGCCGACCCCTACTCCAGGCAACCACACTTGGTTCTGTTAGCATGTCGTCCGTTTACAATTCCTCTTTCCTTTTGTCGTCCTGCGGGCGCTCTCAGATAATCCTAGGCGGAACCGAAACCAAAACAACTCCTCCGTCATCCCCTCTTCCTCCTCTTCTCGGCGGCCAGCGAGGGGGGACAGTGAGAGGGAGAATGCATTCTCAGAGGGCGGCGGGACCTCTCAGAAGCCTCTCGCGCCTTCTGGGAAGTTGTCTGCGTCTTCGGGGCAGCCTTATAGAACCTGTCAGACGGCCGAGGGACTTTTGAGCCTTCTGGAGAAGGCCCGCCCCTTCTCTCTCTTCCCTCCCCAGGCGCGCCGCCGACTCCTCTTCTTCCTCTTCCTGCAGAGGCGGTGAGCGAGGCGAATCGTGGCCGTCGACCTCCGCCTCCCCTCTTCCAGCTGCTGCTGCTCCTCCGCTCATCCTCCCCCCACTCTCCTCCCCTTCTTCTCCTCCTCCTCCTCCTCCTCCTCCTCCTCCTCCTCCTCCTCCTGCTCCTCCTCCTCCTCCCTTCCCTCTTTCTCCTCCTCCTCCTTCTCCTCCTTCTCCTCCTCCTCCTCCTCCTCCTCCTCTTCTCCTGCTCGTCCTTCTCCCCCGCCTCTCGTCGTCCTCTCGTCGCGTCTGTCGTCGTCGTCGTCGTCGTCGTCGGTCGTCGTCGTCGTCGTCGTCGTCGTCGTTGTCCTCCTCCTCCTCCTCCTCCTCCTCCTCCTCTTCCCCCTCCTCCTCCTCCTCGTCCTCCTCCTCCTCCTCCTCTCCTTATCCGCCTCCTCTCCTCCGCATGCTGCCAGGTGAGGCAAGGGTGACACGCAACCACCAGGAGGTCGACTTCGTCCTCGGCCTCGGTCCTCGGCCTTGGCACCTCCTCGGTGACAGTCCTCCCTGCTTCAGGATGGGAAAAGACCACACAGGCGCAATCCATCGTCGATTCCCCAGAAAATATGGGAACATATGGGGAGGGGGGGGAAAACAAAAACCCAGAAAATATGGGAAATACGGGGAATCTTGGTATTTGTGTCTATTTATCTGTGTATCCCAGGGGCCCTTCAGTGCTCTCCAGCTCACCTGCCATGGCCTGGAGGCCCCAGGCGCTCGAGGCTCGAGGCATCCTGGGAGCACACACATCCAGACGTCCGACGCGATTGTCGTCCCGCCGCGTGCGCCAGAGGTCTCGGCCCTTTGCCGGGGAGGGGGAGCTTTTCGCCCTGGATCCAGCTCTGCTGGCCCCGAGGCTCGAAGGCGGGCCGTGGTGGATGACATACGTAGAGGACTTGGCACCGCTCGGACGTGTGCATTTTTTCTCGGCGAGAACCATCCAGGACCATCCTGGACCATCGAGCAAACAAAAACGCACGAAACCGAACAGTGCATGGGAAATGGACGACCCGAGCGACGGCAAGTGTAGGGGACGAGGCACTCTGGGCCTGAACAGAGCAGGCCGCTCGAGGTCCAGGCCACTGCAGGTCTCCGAAGGCTCGGCTGCACAGAGGCCCCCCACGGAGGCCCGAGATCCACCGCCCCGCTCTGCGCGGCACCCGTCGGTGGCCACATGTGTGAACCCTGCCCCCACGCCCCTCGCGATCTCCAAGGGGGGGGCGGGGGTTCACTCCGCTCGGGAGCTCCCGAGCGGAGTGACGCCCCACCCCCCTGGAGAAAGAAAAAGTGGGGGGTGGGGGGGCAGGGCTCACTCCGCTGGCCATCCAGCCTGGGTGTTTCAGTGCTCTCACGCCACGCGGAGCACAGCGCGGACAGGGCTGAACAGGCGGCATACCCGGCCCATGCCTCCTGGCGTCGTGAGCAGCAGACGCGACGGGCGGTTGTTCTTCGCTGCGGTGACTTCTATCCCTCTTTTTGTCCTTCTGGTGGGTCGCTCTCGTCGCTGCGACTGGATCCCTCCTGAAGTTCTGGCCAGGGCGCCCTGCAGGAGTGCTCCAGGGGGAGATGTTGAAGCTCCAGGACCCCCCCATACGCCCAGCGCCAGTACCCCTCAGCACGGCGGCAGCTTCTTCCCGACTGGGGCCTCTGGAGGCTTGCCTCGCCCTAGGACCATCGAAAGACGTCGATCCGCTCCGACACGTGGGCCACTGGAACGGTCTCGGGACCTGGCGCTGCCTGGACGCGTGCATATAATCCACCCCGGCGAGGACATTCGAGGAGCATCCAGGATCATCGGACAAATTACCAGCCTCGAACGTATCCCTATCCCTAAGATTGACACGCCCAAAGGCGATGACAATCTCAGGGATTCGGGAATCCCTAAGATTGGCATCGTGATGAGGAGGTGCCCAGCATAGGGAGAGGGATCTGTTCCAGGCTGGTAAACAAGAAGCACGCGTGACATCGAGGCGTGCCCGGGGAGCGGACGCCCGAGCGAGGGCGATGGGGGAGGCTTCCGGGGACCCGGGGGCGGCCCGCCGACCCGGCCGCCGACGCGGGGCGGGGCGGCGGGGGCGAGGGGCCGGGCGCCTCGAGGGGCCAGCTGCGGGCGGGCAGGCCATGTTCCGCAACCTGCGCTGCGTGCCGGAGGACCTCGGGGCAGGGTGGCAGTCGGGGCCTCCGGGCCGGGCCTGAACGCTAAGCCGCCTGGCATCGCTCGGACGTGTGCATTCTTCCTTCGGCGAGGGCCATCGAGGAGCATCCTTGATCCTTTGGCGAAGGAGCCACGCTCGAAACCGAACAAAGACACAGGGAAGGGACGTCCGAGCGATGGCGAGAAACGGTGTGTTGGCGATTAGTTTGTGGGCGGCTTTCGTTTCGACTTCGATTTGCGGTCAAGGCGGATGGAAGGCAAAGCGAGGGAAAGCGAAGACGAATCGAAAACGAAGAGCACCTTTCCGTTTCAGCCCTGTCGGGGTTCAGGAGACGGGGGTCGCTGCAAGCGGGGGTCAGTCCGAGTGCAGGATCTCGCAGGATCCCGCGGAGCCAGGGTTGCATCGACCCGGGTTTGGGTGCAGGATCGTGCAGGATTTTGCAAAGCCTGACTGGTCCGGCTTTGGATTGGCCTGGGTCAATAGATCCCCAGTGACAGCAGCATGGCAGTCTGATGCAAGAGAGGGGGCATTGGCATACATCGTTCCTGCTGCAGAGGAGCACTGGTCCTCACCGCTGAGGCGTCAGCACCGGCAGTCTTCTTTCACGCCCTGCTCGTTTGATTCTGTCGTGCGGTAACGCTTGGGCCAGCTTTTCAGGTGCACGCACACTTTGCTTGCTTACCAATTGCTTCGCTCGTTCCGTTGGCCCGTATTGTGCCATCGTTGGCGTTTGCGTGCGCGTTCGTGGGCCATGCGACGCTGCTGGTCGGCGCTGCTGCGGTTGTGGGTGAGAGTCCTCGTGGATGCTTCTTGGTGTCTCTTCGGATGGTTTTCCGGGGGCTCCTGCGTAGTAGTTTTAGGGGCTATTGGGGGCCTCCTGGGGGCGCCTTAGATGCCTCTTGGGGCTCTCTTGGTGCCTCTCGGGGGCCTCTTGGACACTCTTGGGGGTCCCTTGGGGGCCGCTTGGGGCAGCCTGGACGCCTCTTGTGGCGGAGATCTCGAAATTCCCACTCGGCTTCCTCCTTCTGGGCCCCCTCTCAGGGCCGTCCTGAGGCTCCCTCTGTCCGTCTTGGAGGCCCCTGGGGCCGTCTTGGGGCCCTCTGGGGGGGCCCCTGGGGCCTCTGAGGCCTCTGGGCCCTCTGAGGCCTCTGGCCTCTGGGGCCGTTTTAGAGGCCTCTGGGGCCTCGGAGGCCTGGGGGGGAGGCCCTGGGGGGGATTTGGAGGCCGAAGGCGTATTGAGAGCTTTTCGAGGGCCCGTGGGGAGGCTCTGGGGGCGATTTCGAGGCCGAACGCTCGAAATGTCTTTTGGGGCTCCCCCTCCAGGTCGTCCTCGTCGTCGATCTCCTCGTGCAGTCGGCGTCGTCGTCCCCAGGCTGCGCCCTCGGCGCACGCCTCGGAGCGTGGGTCGCACGTCGCGGGGGGAGGGCAGGACCACGACTTCCTCCTCACGGAGCCGCCGTTCAACACCCCAGAGAACCGCGAGCTGACGGCGGAGATCATGTTCGAGGAGGGGAGAGATGGGGGGAGAGCGGAGGGGAGGGGAGGGGAGAGGGAGGCGGGGAGGAGGGAAAGGGGGGAGGAGGGTGGTGGAAGAGGGGTGGGAGACGGAAGGGGGGATCTGGGAGGAGGGCGGGAGGGAGGGAGGGGGGAGACGCAGGAGGCAGGGATGAGGGAGGATGGAATAGGGAGACGGTGTGCGGGAGGGATGGCCGATAGGGATGAGTGGAGGGAGGGAGGAGTTGGAGGACCAGGGGGAGAAGGATGGGGAGGAGGGGAAACGGGGGAAGGGCGAGGACGAGGGCGAGAGAGGGAAGTGTTGAGAGGCAGGGATGATGCGAGAGGGGGGGCAGGGCGAGAGGAGGGAGTGACGGGGGAGGCAGGGAGGGACGGAGCTGGCGAGGAGGACGGTGGAGGTGGACGATAGGAGAGGGAGGAGGACAGGGGAGGGGGAGAGATGCAGGGAGGGAAGGGGAGAGATGGAGGGGAGGGAGGGAGGGGAGGGAGGGAGAGGAGGGGGGGGAGAGGGAGGGGTGGAGGAGAACAGGGGAGGGGAGAGGAGGCGTGGGAGGGGGGAGGGGAGGGGAGGAGGGGAGTGGTGGAGGAGGACAGGGGAGGGGGAGAGATGGAGGGCGGGAGGGAGGGGAGGATGGACGAGGAGGCGAGCGGAAGGAGACGCTCAAGGCTGCGATGGGGAGGCGGGCTGATCGCGCCCTCCCCTGTGCAGCGTGGCGGGCGGCGGAGCGCGCTGGACCGGATCTCGCGCGGGCTCGCGGAGGAGGCAGAGGTGGAGCAGCAGGAAGCGTGGGAGGAGAGGGGAGGCGAGCTGTGAGCGCCCGCGCCACATCTTACCTCCCTACCCCTCCCACATGTCCCTTCCCGCTGCGCCGATGATTTTTCTGTCCGCCGACGGGTGTCCTAGCGGACCTGGAACACCAAAGATGACCCCTTCTGCGTAAACGGGAAACGCATAGGATGAGGAGGAGGTGGCAGATGCGCAGGAGGGAGAATGGGAGGGAGAAGAAAGGGTCTCCGCGGTTCGGATGCGTTCGGTCGGTTCAGTTCGGTGGGTTGTCGTGTCGCTGCTGCGTCGCTGGGCTCTTCAGGCTGCTTGTGGCCTGCCGGCTCCGGTCGGCTTGGGTCGGTGTCGGTTTCACTGTCGGTTCGGTCGTCTTGGAGCAGCTTTTCTGACGTCTCGTAGGCAAGCCAGAAGCCTCTGAGGCCATCTTCGAGGGATCTTAGGCTGCCTGGGAGCATTTAGGAGGTCTTTGATGCCTCTCAGACTCTCTCGGATGCCTCTGCGGCCCATCGTGGCGGCATCGCGAGCCGAAAAGTGGCGCAACGTAAGTATATGCAGAACACCTGAGAGATGTTGACGATGATTGGGCTCTGTGGAGCCCTCCGCGAAGCCGTCCTGTGCCCCCTGGTGTTCCCATGGAGGGCCACCTTGAATCGAGGGCCTTGGGGGCCCAGTGAGGTACTTCGGAGGGGATCGAGGCCCCAGAGGGCTCTGGGGACCTCGTAGATGCACCACATTGGGGCTCCTGCCTGGGGAGGGGGACGGGCTTGGCATCTCACGCGCCCCGGCGCGCGGGGGTGCGTGACTGGGCGGATCCCCCTCCTCCCTCCTGCGCCTCCTCCTCTTCCTCCTCAAGAGTATTGTTGCTGAGAGAAGCGGCCTCCTCATGCCGCTCAACTGTTGTGGCTCTAGAACGTTGCTGCTGAGAGGCACGCTCGCGCGTCTCAGGAGCGCCGGCCCCCCCCCGCGCTTTCCCACAAGGTCTGGCCGCCCGCCGCCCCGCGCGCGGTGCCGAAGTCGCCGCGGCCATGGCTGCCACCAGGGAGGAAGACCTGCAGTTGGCGGCCTCGGCCGCCATGCCGCGCAGCTCACCGCGTGGGCGGCCCCGCCAGGAAGCGAGACGCGTGGACCTCCCGGGACGGCCCCTGGGGCGGGGCGTGGAAAACTTGGGCTTCCCTCCCTCCGAGGGCGCGAGACGCTGGAGGGTCGCGCCGAGCTGCGGCGGCGCCGCTTCGCGGGCCTTGCCTGCGGGGCGCGCCCGGTGGAAGTCGCCGCGGGAGGTCTGCGTGGACTGCCGGTGCCGTCGTCGCCTCCACGTGGGGTCGGGCGGCCGGGGTCGGCCGGCCTTGCTCGCGTCCTGCGCTCTGCTGCCCGGCGTGCTGGGTGGGCGGCCTTGTCCTCTGTTGCCTGGGTTCCCCGGGTGAGGTCGGGTGGGCAGGGGTCCCCCGACGTGGGGGGCGCGGGAACGTAAGTCCTTGGGCAGCGGGGTCTCCGCTGCTGGAGGCCGGCGGCCAAGTGGGGTTGCTGGTGGCCGTGTCTCAGGGTGGCATCTCGAGGCACATCGCAACGGCGGCGCAGATGTGACGCCTGGGGCGGGTCTCTGCCGCCGTTCATGTTGCGAGGTCCGACTGCATGGAAATTCATGCAGGTACCTTGGGTACCTCGCTTCGGGTTGTGTCGCCCAGGTGTTCTGCCTATGCACAAAATCCTTCGCGACGAGGCCCGTGCTGGGCCTCGTCGTTGCGCTTGCGAACTCGCTGCGATCTCCCTTCCGAGCTTTGCAGTGCATTCGGGCCCAGGGCAGAAACGACGTGGATGGCAGTGAAACGCGCGAAGAGCCAGCCCATGAAAAGCTTGTTACCATGCTTGCCAGACTCCGTGATGCTGCTTCTGATGTGGTCCCGTGGGGGGGCGGCCAGAAGCTCGCGCAGGTCGCCAAGGCGTTCTCAGGCATCGTGCCGACGAAGAGCGCTATCGCGGAAGCGGGAGTTGGGCATCTTCTGGCAGACAGGACAGTTTGGGCCAGTGGCGGCGACGTCGCCATGACCTTCGCCGAAAAAACCCTGAGAGACTGGAAGGCGAAGGTGAAGCATGGGCAAGGCGACCGTTCATCAGCAGCTGCTGGGCAGAGGCAGTTCGCGGCGATGAAGGCGGACGCGTGCCTGGATTGCGTCAGCGACCTTGCGGACCGGCTCATGCTGGTCGACGTGGGCGGCAGATCCTGCGTTCAGGAAGAGGCTGGCGGCGACCTTGGTGCAGCGCGGTGCCCTCCATTGGAAGCGCTTCGACTCCATCCACCCGGTGCCCTCGCGGGCGCAGGCTCCGGCGCTGGCTGCGCTGCTCCGCCGCGCAGCGGCCGAAGCCACGCGGTGCGGGCAGAATCAGTGCAACAGGGCCATGACCCTGGAGGTGCTCAGCTGAGCTCTGGCGCCATCAGCGCCACCGTCAGCGTTAAGAGCAAATCCGCCTTGCTTTCGCTGGCGAGACGTCGCAGAACATGGTCGCGCAAGCCCAGGACAAGTGCTGGATGGAGGTGCGCCACCTGTGCGGAGGTGCCCCAGGCTCGAGGGCCAAGGAGGCCGCTCAGAAATTAGCGGCGGCGGGGCAGAATGCAGAAGTGCCGCGAATCATTTACGAGAGGGCGCTCCTGCGCGTGGAGCGCAAACAGGGGTCTTTGCGCTCGGTGGCTTCTGGGCTCCGCCTGTGGCGCGCCTTCGCAACGGACATCTTGGGGTAAGGCGCTGCCGCCCAATCAGGGCGTGGACATGATCGAGTTCCTGGCCATCTTCATTAACCCTGGTGCAGCCGACAACTACGCCGGGTACGGCAGACGCGCGTGCGCGGACCTCTTCATGGAGACCGGGCGGTGGTCCGCAACTTGGCCTTCAGGTGATAGGGGGGGTCCTAGAATGGCCACTTTTTATTACTTTTTTGGTCTCTTTAGGTGCTGTTTTGGACTGGCACATTTTCAGCGTTTCTGGTCTTGCTACCGAAAGGAGCGCGTAGGTACGGTTGCAAGGTACGAAGAGTTGTATTATCTTTCTCCTCGTGTCCTTTGTCTTGACTCGTTTATGTCCCCTTTCCTTGCTGCTCCTGCCGATCCTCTTTCTCGTCCTCGTTCCTTCCTTTCCTCCTCATCCTCGTCATCCTCTGTCATCCTCCTCCTAGTTTCCCTCGCCTTGCCGACAGGGCTACTGTTGCCAACAGTAGCCCTCACGCTCAAGGGCATGCGTGCAGAGCAATTGTGTGCCACCCGCGGCCAGGCGCTGGGGAAGGTGTTGCTCGCTGACGAATTGGTGGCGCAGTTAGTGCGGCTATCATTCGCAATGGATGTACCGCATGTCCATGCGGCCGCTCTCGTGTCGTCCGTGTTACCCCTCCGAATCCAGAGTGAGACTATGGGCCTTGAGGTGGGCATGCAACGCGAAGTGCAGGCGCTGCCACCGGGTCGCCGCAGCGCCGTATGGATCGAGTATTGCGACGGTCGCCTCGACTCTCTCTGCATCCGGCTGGCCAGAAGGAATCGCAGACCACAAGGAAGCCTGCTGATGCGTGCTTGCGCTTGCTCCAGGGCGTCCCCCTCACTGCTGCGCCGTGCTCGCGGTGGCGCCACTGCTTCGCGGCAAGGGCGCCGGCGCGAAGCTGTTCGACCGCGTGAGCCCCTCGTTCCTCGAGGCCGTCCGCCGCATGCTAGCGCTCTTGGGCCTCAAGGAGGCCGCCAGGTGCACCTTGAAGGCCTCCGGGGCTGGTAAGGCCACCTCACTCGCAGCCGCCTGGTCGCCTAGCGGCGTCATTGTGGCAGCTGTCGAATGGAAATCGTCTGCGTTCTGCCGGTATTGCCAGGCCGACGAGATGTCGGCCACTGCCGTCCTCGAGGTTGTCCGTTGAAGTCGAGGACCGAGGTGGGTGCACGGGCGGGAATTCGTCGTCGTGGAGGGCCGACGGGCGTGACGGGAAAGCAGCGTCCGCGTGTGGTACCGACATGAGCTGTGCACCGCCGGTGGGGGCCAGTGTCGGTTACCATGGTGAGCCAGGTGTGCTCCGCTACCACGGCTCTGGTTGCCTGTGCCCCTGTGGCGCTGGTGGCTGCTTCAGCCTTGTACCAGCGCGGGGTAGCGTCGACCCAAGGTGGTGGCATTGGATCACCTGGTGCGGTTGTCCCACAGTACCAGGTGACGCTGTAGGCGTCTTCCCTGCGTAGCGCCATGCCTTCCAGGGTAGCTTGGCGACGCCATCGGTCTCCCGGTGGCTTACGCCGCGCCGCCGATCCCCCTCTGTGTGTCTCCCCTCGCCCGTTTGCGTGATGTGTGACATGACGACTTGTGAGCAGGAACAAGGTCGGCCCCCCTCTTGCCATCTATCACCAACAAAAAACATGCTCAGACGCCTGGCGCCAAAACTGCACCCTGAGGTCGTTTCGAACATCCGAGGCCAGCTCCTAAACATCAGGATCCCCCTCGCGCTCCTCGGGGGGAGCGTCGGGAAAGGACCAGATGTCGGCATCGGTGGCAATCGCGGGGCGTGCCACCCTGTTGCCGACACGGGCTTCCAACCTGCATCGAGACGGGGAGCTGTGACGACAGCAATCGGCCCACGAACCTTGCGCCACCGATGTTTCGCATGACCCCCAAGTTAATTCAGGATTGGCTGCCAGGAGGAGGAGGAGGAGGAGGAGGAGGAGGAGGAGGAGGAGGAGGAGGAGGAGTCCATGAAGAGACCGTCGGGCTGGCAGATCGTGGTGTATTCAGAACCCCTTGCAGGATTTTTCTGAGGACGCACGGGGCGCCACTGAGGGCGTGTGCTTCGCGCCCGAAGAGTACCTCAGACCAGCCTGCATGCTTGGTAACAGCGGGTCGACCGTGGCAGGGCAATCACCGCTTAACACCCGCCTTGGGCCTCGGCCTCGATCTGTTGCAGGGTGTCTGCGATGGAGTCCAAAAGGGCAGCCCAACCCGGCTGGCCCGACTTCTTCTTTTCGCCCCTGCCTTTTTTATCCTGGGCTGCCACCGGCTCGTTCTCCCGCTCTTCTGCCCAACCCCAAGCGGACCCGCTTCACTGTTTTTCTCCTTCCCCCTCAGCTTTGTACGTGACGCCACTATGTTGCTCACCTCATTGCGCCCGCCCGCCCCCCGCTCTGGATAAGTACGGGCTACCATGTCTGGCATCGGTGTGGGGTCAGAACATTGTCCTGCCGTCACCCAGTACCATCGATGTCGTCAGCACCAGTACTCCAGCCAGGATTGTGGGCTAAGGATTTCTGCCCAGCACGCCCAGTTCGCCCGCGGTCCGCTGCTTCGGTCAGATCGATCCAACAATCTCGGCCAGAATTCTGGCAACCACCGTTCCCAAACTTGCCACATGGCTAGGGACCTATCTGCGTTATTTCGGCTAGCCTGCTTCTGCAATTTTTGTAGATGGCTTGCATGATTTCCATTGCTCGTGCATCGCTCCCAGGACTCGGCTAAGGGCCTCTGCCTAGCATGCCCAGCTAGCCCGCGGCCCGTTGTTTCGGCCAAGCCGATCCCACAAGCACGGCAGGATATCATAATTCAGTATCCGCAGTATTCCAAAGCAGGACAGGGCTAAGTGCGTGTGCGCAGCACAGTACACCACGGTCCGTTGCTTCGGCCATATCGGTCCAGCAAGCACCGCAGGAGTCGTGGTATCAGCCGTGCCACACCTTGGTAGGTAGACCTGGGTTCTCTCCGAGGAGGGTTGGCGTGGGATCCTGCCAAGGTCCATTATGTACTACGTTGCTTCGCAACACCTCTTTCTTTGTTTCATCACACGTTGGTGCTGCAGCAGGCAGGTTGATGGGGCTTCGGCCCTGGGAGCGTCCCGACATGCGGGGTATGCTTTTGGGCTCGCAATCTTACGGCTAGGCCCCGCGGACAGGGCAAGGCTCACGTTCTGGGCACAGCCCGCCAGCTGTTCGGTGCTTTTGTTCTCGTTGTTTTTTAATGGCCAGTTTCTTCAAGGGCTCGCTTCCCAGGCCCCTGCCTCTTCCGCAACCCTCCATTGGGCTCCTCCGTGGACGAGCTGGAGGGGCAGGAGGAAAACCCAGGGAGCCCTGCTGGACGCGCCTGCCGCCCGCACAGACGTTCAATGTGAGGGGCCTCGACATCCGCATGCAGGCGGCCAGCCGCCCTGCCTGGGCAGGCGGCTGAGGGGCGGGAGGAGGGGATGACGAGGGCTGAGGGGGGGGGCGGGAGGGGGAGGATACATGCAAGGCCGAAGGGGGAGGGGGAGGGGGAGGAGGGGGGGGGGAGGAGATGGGGCGAAGGGGAAAGGGCGAAGGGGTGGGGAAGGGGGGGCGGAGGGGGAGAGGATACCCAGGACACAAGACACAGAGACGCCCGCAGGTCCCCCGCCAGCGTTCCGAGTGAGGTGCGAGCCAGCCCCCCAGGCTGGGAGGGAGCCGCGGGGGCTCACCCGTCTTAGGGTGCGTACCTTCGTGAATCCTCCTCCTCCTCCTCCTCCTCCTCCTCCTTCCTCCTCCTTCCTCCTCCTCCTCCTCGTCCCTCCTCCTCCTCCCTTCCTCCTCCTTCCTCCTCCCTCCTCCCTCCTCCTCCTCCTCCTCCTCCTCCTCCTCCTCCTCCTCCTCCTCCTCCTGGAGGGGGAGGAGGAAGGAGGTGGAGGAGGGGTGGGAGACAAGCTAGGTGCGCTCGCGTCATATCTGACGTTCTACCCCTCCCTCCCATCCCTTACCATGGCGCTGATTTTCTCTATCCGCGGACGCGTGTCGTAGCGGACCTGTGGCTCCGCGCGCGCGTGCGTAGTAGGTGGTGGTGCGCGTGCGTGCGTGCGTGCGTGTGTGCGTGGTGGTGGTGGTGGTGGTGGTGGTGGTGGTGGTGGTGGTGGTGGTGGTGGTGGTGGTGCGGCGCGGTGGTGGCGGGCGGATGGGCGCGCGAGAAAGAGGCCCGCGCTGGGGCGAGAACGCCATCCTGAACGACGGAGGCCAAACACCGATCCGAAAATGAGGCCCACGCTGCAGCGGGAGCACGATTCGGAACGATTCGGGAGCAGAAATGAGGCCGGCGCCTCAGCGAGAGCAGCATTTTGAAAAAAAACGCAAGCGAAAACCCAACTCCCGGGAATCCTGTGTAAAAAACAGTACGCGGGGGGGGGGTCGGCCACTCCCAGCACGCCATCAGGGGAAGAGGGAGAGTAGTATCATATTGAGTAATTGTTCAGCGGCGAGGGGAGGGGAGGTGAGGAGCGGAGAGAGGAGGGGGAGGGGGGGAGGGGGCAGGGGGGGCTGGACGACGGCGGGAGGGGAGGGGGAGAAAGGAGAAAGGGGGTGGGGAGGGGAGGGGGCGAGGGAGGAGGGGATATTGCGATCGAGCGCCCCGGGGAGCCCTGGGGGCTGCCAGGGGGGCGGGGGGAGGCGGCTGCAGAGGCGCAGGGTCGAGGCCGCGAGGAGGGCCCCGCAGGTGCCGGGGTAGTGAGAGACCGCCCGCCTGCGGCCACCGCTGCAGGACGTGGCGGAAGAGCAGTGTCGTTTCACCGATCCCCATCCCTATGCCAGCCTGGAACATATCCCTATCCCCATGCTGGGCATCTCCCCATCACGATGCCAATCTTAGGGATTCCCTTTTTTTTTGAGGGCGAATCCCTGAGATTGTCATCGCCTTTTGGCGTGTCAATCTTAGGATAGGGGTACGTTCGAGGCTGGTAAATCCCCATGCCCATCCCGATCCCCACCATCCCACCATCCCGGTTGGGGGCATGGCCCTCGAAGCTCGAGGGGAGCAGCCCACGTCCCCCCATCCAGGGGGAGAGGTCGGCCGGTGTGGCCCAGGCCACGCCCGTGGGGACCGGGATCGGCGAAGCGATGCTCAGAAGAGGTGAGGCTGGAGGATCGATGAAGTGGAGGGGTCAGGAGGGAATAATACACACAGACACAATTAATTGTCGATCCCGCAGAACATATGGGAAAATATGGGAAGTGGTGGGGAAGACAGAAGCCCAGAAAATACGGGAAAACATGGGGACTCTTTTTATTAGTGTGTATTTATTTGTGTGTCCTGGGGCCCCTTCAAAGGGGGATTGGTGACGGTCTCCGCTTTGCATGCGGAATGGACGCGATGCGTCGCCAAATCAGGCGACATTGGTTGCGTGGTTCGGGGGCTCCGTGATCCATGCTAGCGTGCCCCCGAGAAGAGTGGAAACATGTGGGTGGCAGCGACGAGGCCATAATCGGATCCAGAGGTGTTCCCTGGGCGAGAGTGGCATTCTGAGACACGGAGGCGACCCACCGATCCTGAAACGTGGCTAACGCCACATTGTGTGTGTGTGCGTGTGTGTGTGCGTGACGGGCGAATCTGCGGGAGTGGCGGGAGCGCGATAGGACGGCGTCGCGGGAGAGAGAAGAGCCGTGCCCGTGCCGAGCAATGGGGGGCCAGGGGCGGCCAGGAAAGGGGAGGCCATGGACGCAGAAGATCGGTGCGGTGGGGGAGAGGGGAAGCGCCGCAGGGACGACCGGGCCGCGAGGCGGGGGGGGGAGGGGGGGGAGGGGAGGAGGGAGGGAGGGGAGGGGATTGGAGGGGAGGGAGGAGGGATTGGGAGGGGGGAGGAGAGGGGGAGGGGGCGGCGAGGTGACGCCCAGAGCAGTGCCGCCGCCTCCCTCCTCCCGCTTGTTGCTTGTTGTTGTCGCCGTCGCCGTCGCCGTCGCCGTCGCCGTCGCCGTCGCCGTCGCCGTCGCCGTGACCGTCGCCGTCGCCGTCTCCGTCGCTGTCGCCGTCGCCGTCGCCGTCGCCGTCGCCGTCGCCGTCGCCGTCGCCGTCGCCGTCGCCGTCGCCGCGCCGTCGCCGCGCCGGCCGTCGCCGTCGTCCGTCGCCGTCGCCGTCGCCGTCGCCGTCGCCGTCGCCGGCCCGGCCGTCGCCGTCGGCCGTCGCCGTCGCCCGTCGCCGTCGCCGTCGCGTGTCGTCGTCGTTGTTGTTGAACATTATTAATTCTAAAGAATAATTATTGTTGGGCCCCCTGGTGCGCGGCCCCCCCGCCGCGCCTAGGCCGCAGCTACATTTTCATCATTTTCGTGAGGAAGCCTCAGAAAAGTGGATGTGTCCAGATCCGGTTGTTTTGTTGTAATCCGTTTCCCTTGCAAAAAAACACTATAAAATGACATTTCTTGTTCTAATATAATCAAATTTCAAGAATCCCTTGCAAAAAATAAGGTAAAGTGGACATTCGCGCGCGCAAGACGAAATCCTTCCAAAAGCTTAGTGTTCGAGCGATTTTAACATAAAAACATCAAAAAAACCAATGGTTTTTCAACAAAAAAATGTCAAAATCTCATCCCGCGCGCTCTTGCGGATTCGTAGGAAACCCAACACTTTTTAAACATTTCTGTCAAACGGGCTTTTGCGAGCAACTTTTTCGAACTTCTGCGACAACGGTTGCGCACCTGCCAGGGCCATCATCCCTGTCAAATAATACCATGCGGGACACATTCGTCTCTCTGTATTATGTATTGTATGGCACAATTGCACCATGCTGGGCACATGCGCGCCCCGAATAAGTGACCAAGTTCTGTGGGTGTGTACCCCACGCCAGTGTAGTAGCCACGGTCGTCCGCACGCCACGAAGTGAAGTGTCCCAACGTCATAGGGCGGGAAGCTGGGTTTGGGTGGTCGCGAAGAGTCGTTTGGATATTTGGTAGAGCTTGTAATGCCCCCCCACGAAGTGGGGGTATTGCCTGGTGTCGTATGAAAACCCTGGCACTGGGGAGAACACCGCGCGTTCGGGTAAAATGATTGTTGTTGTTGTTGTTGTTGTTGAACATTATTTATTCTAAAGAATAATTATTGTTGGGCCCCCTGGTGCGCGCCCCCCCTGCGCCGCCTAGGCCGCAGCTACATTTTCATCATTTTCGTGAGGAAGCCTCAGAAAAGATGTGTACAGGATCCGGTTGTTTTGTTGTAATCCGCTTTCCCTTGCAAAAAACAATAGAAAATGACATTTCTTGTTCTAATATAATCAAATTTCAAGAATCCCTTGCAAAAAATAAGGTAAAGTGGACATTCGCGCGCGCAAGACGAAATCCTTCCAAAACCTTAGTGTTCGCAGCGATTTTAACATAAAAACATCAAAAAACCAATGGTTTTTCAACAAAAAATTGTCAAAATCTCATCCCGCGCGCTCTTGCGGATTCGTAGGAAACCCAACACTTTTTAAACATTTCTGTCAAACGGGCTTTTGCGAGCAACTTTTTCGAACTTCTGCAACAACGGTTGCGCACCTGCCAGGGCCATCATCCCTGTCAAATAATACCATGCGGGACACATTCGTTTTTTCTTCGCGCGCGCACGCCGTCGTCGTCGGCCGCGGGGCCCTGAATAGTAGCCACGGTCGTCCGCATGCCACGAAGTGAAGTGTCCGAACGTCATAGGGCGGGAAGCTGGGTGTGGGTGGTGGCGAAGAGTCGTTTGGAAATTTGGTAGAGCTTGAACCGGCCCCCCCACAAAGTGGGGGTATTGCCCGCCTCCTATGAAAACCCTGGCACTGGTGAGAACGGGTGTCCCCACGTGCTAGTAATTTGTTGTTGTTGTTGTTGTTGTTGTTGTTGTTGTTGTTGTTGTTGTTGTTGTTGTTGTTGTTGTTGTTGTTGTTTTGTTGAACATTATTTATTCTAAAGAATAATTATTGTTGGGCCCCCTGGTGCGCGCCCCCCCTGCGCCGCCTAGGCCGCAGCTACATTTTCATCATTTTCGTGAGGAAGCCTCAGAAAAGAGGGTGTGTACAGGATCCGGTTGTTTTGTTGTAATCCGCTTTCCCTTGCAAAAAACAATAGAAAATGACATTTCTTGTTCTAATATAATCAAATTTCAAGAATCCCTTGCAAAAAATAAGGTAAAGTGGACATTCGCGCGCGCAAGACGAAATCCTTCCAAAACCTTAGTGTTCGCAGCGATTTTAACATAAAAACATCAAAAAACCAATGGTTTTTCAACAAAAAATTGTCAAAATCTCATCCCGCGCGCTCTTGCGGATTCGTAGGAAACCCAACACTTTTTAAACATTTCTGTCAAACGGGCTTTTGCGAGCAACTTTTTCGAACTTCTGCGACAACGGTTGCGCACCTGCCAGGGCCATCATCCCTGTCAAATAATACCATGCGGGACACATTCGTTTTTTCTTCGCGCGCGCACGCCGAAATCTCGGGACAGTCATCGGGACAACGATCGGGACAAGCACAACCATCAGGACAACCATCGGGACAATCATCGGGACAACGATCGGGACAACCACAACCATCAGGACAACCATCGGGACAACCATCGAGACAACCATCGGGACAACCATATCCTCTCTCTCTTGTGTATTCCCACATCCCTCAGGAATTTGCCCTAAAGATGTGATCAACAATCTTGTGAGTACGTATCTGTGTATCATGTGTATCATGTACCATATGCATCATATGCAACAGATGTTCTGTGGAAGGCTTAACAACTTCTGTGGGTTAACAAGGCTTAACAACTTCTGTGGGTGTACGAACGTAGGCTAACAACTTCTGGGGTGTGTACTCCACGCCAGTGTAGTAGCCACGGTCGTCCGCAGGCCACGAAGTGAAGTGTCCGAACGTCATAGGGCGGGAAGCTGGGTGTGGGTGGTGGCGAAGAGTCGTGTGGATATTTGGTAGAGCTTGCACTGCCCCCCCACAAAGTGGGGGTATTGGCTGGCGTCGCATGAAAACCCTGGCACTGGTGAGAACACTGAGCGTTCGGGTAAAGTGATTGTTGTTGTTGTTGTTGTTGTTGTTGTTGAACTCTCATTCTTGAAGAATAATTATTGTTGATCCCCCCCACCGGTGCACATTGATTTTTTTCGATTGAAGTGCCACCCCCGGGGCTCGCACTTTGTTTTTTCTCGAG